AATAGTAGCAAGAGTCAATAGTATCGGTCAATATAATTCACTCTCCAGTTGCAACGTAAACAACTTTCAGATTCATATAAAATCAAATAAAATGCTAAATATTGAATCTCACTGTTGAAAAGATTTAGTGATAAACACCAATTGGCGTGAGAGCTTGTTCGTTATACTTTAAGTGAATTCGCATTATAGTGTTCAATAGCAATGAATTACGTTTCAAACTTTTATTTAATTAAAAACTAATACCTACCACCGACCACCTTGTGAAGTTTTAAAAAATTAATATAACTAGCTTCAATATATTAGAAAAAAAATTGATTAAGCCTTCGCTCCGTCACGATGTTAAACAATAGAAACAAATGATACGGTAAACAGTGGCATATATTAAATAAATTGTGATGAAATTCATTGCTCTCAATAATGACAATAATAATTATGTCTTTCTTCATCATCTTTCAATTTATGTGTCTATTTGTGTTGTCATTCTTTATCAGTTTATTGACATTTACAATAGTTATGTACATGTATACGTGTATATGATGATAGAAAATAAAACATTCATGAACATTAACATACATTATTGATATGTTAGTTAGCGATGAAACATTAATTGAACATTTGATAATGGTTAAATTATCAATATTAACTTTATTTTAATAAAATATTTATTATTCATCAATTTGAACTAATCTCAAAAGGAAACAAAGAGATAAGAACTATGTTTGTCTTTAACTCCTAAATTTTTAAGATATTGACTGACATCTCTACCATTTCAGCATTATTTTACTATTCATAGTTAATATTGTATGCCTATGCTTCATTTATGCTAAAGATTACCGTCCATCTGATTGTAAATCGTGTGGCAGTTACTCAGGTTAGATAGAGACTTGAATATATGCTTTTTGTCCCATAATGGTCATAATAACTATTAAGGTTTTTAGGAATATCTGAGTTTCATATTTTGCTATCAGATCAACCTTTAGAAACAGTGAAGCAATAAACAGCTGTTTCATTCTGAATGTTAGGCATCCAGTGAGAAACTTGGTGGTACTGAGTCCGGTACCGGGTCGGACAGTGAATGCACATAGTTAAGGAATTCTGTTCCGAGATGAACTAGGTATATAGTGCTTCTTATTCTTTATTGGCCATCTAACTTATGTTAACCCGTATGGTTGAAACATACGAAATAGTCTACTTTTTGATTTTTGTCTATAGAGGATAGAAATTTCCAAAAAAATAACACTATATTGACCTGACGAAAGATGAAATCAGCAAGAAACACCGTTTGAACCACTTTTCTACCATATTTAATCAGATTATGATGAAATTCGAAAATAAATACAGATTCTTTACTGAAAAAACCAACATTCAAAATCATTCAACTAAGATGATGTTTGTAAAAAGTATAGACAGCTCAAATTATGTTGGGTACAATTTTCCCTCTTATTTTAATTCATACTATATTTTTGATGAAACTGGCCCTATAGAGTGTGATACAGTTTGAACACTGAATTGTTAAGAACTTTACTGACTGGTTGACAAAAAGTTTTTGAAAAGCAAATGTACATCGATCTAGTCCAAGTTCCAACAGATTTCATTAGGAAAGTTTAAACATGATAATGGATATCTCACTAGCTGTAACTACTACTACTACTAATACTGTTTTAACATTTCAAAAATTTATCAGGGGAAACTGTAACATGTGGTAACCAGTAATGACTTCAGTTTGGTACAAAATTCAAAGGTATTGTCTTTTACTCTACAATGAATTTTCTTTGACCTGACAACAAGCTCTCATATTTCACATAATAACACTATTGTAACATATATGTTGTTTTAGTAATTAATTTACTAAGGAATAAGTACAACATACATATAAGCGAACAATATTGTTTTCGATTAGATCGTCATCAAGCTATACTCTAATATACATGAATATTTACACGAAAATGTTTAATCAATCAAGGCAATTTTTGAGTCAATAATCACAATGAAATAAAATAGATTACCTCACTACACATAATAGGTGGAAAAGTACAAGTTGATGGTTGGAAGACAGTTGCACTGATAGTAGTAAGAAAATTATAAAATACGATAACAATAGTTTTATCAATAGTAGGGCAAACGTGGATAAATAGACTTAAAATAATCATTACAAAATATCAAAACCATTACGTAATAAGAAGTGTATACACAATTAGATAGTGAAGAGTATAAACGGAAAGAAGCAGAGAATTACCAACAAATAGAGAATGTGAAAATAATGTTAATAATAACAAAACAAAATTTAAACCAAAAAAAGTTAGTTATGGATATCAGGTATCCATGTTTAGTGATCAATGGTTTTTTTTAATTGATGCAGCTTAATCCCTGAACATTGTTTTTCCGTGTCAAAGTAATCTTAGAATTACCATACTGTATTCAATACTAAGTACCTTCCTAAAATTTTATTTTTATGGGACGCATTTCATTTCTTTTGACTAATACAACTTTATTTGTCTTTGTGAAGGACATAGATTTTCCCTAGTTGAACTGGCATAAAATATAAGCAGATGCATCAAACGTCTCATTGCACGGAATGCTTGATAAGATTGCACTTATCATAACAGCAATTCTTCATTACAAAGTTATCATCTAAAAAAACTGATATTATATACAGTATCTCTGGAATGTATGACAAATTTCCCTTGCTTGAAACGCAAACTAAACTCCACTAGTATTTTTATATTAGAAGAAATGAGACGATAGTACAATAAGTGTATCAGATTGTTTGATCCCAGTCTTTGGATTTAAAAACCGATAGAATTTTATGCGAATTCACTTAAATCATTCTTACTTATCAGTATATTTTGATCTTATAACCTTTGACCTTAACTATGACCAATTGAATCTTTCATTTCGAGTTACAAAATCATGATTGATAGTCAACTAGTTGCTGTAATAGTTAATACAGATTATACAACAGTCTCAAATACTGTATGTAAAAATTTAAGTAGACAAGCAGATAGATTTTATCTTATTCTTTATAAAAGATAAACTGTCTGTATTGAGTGTCCGTCCAATTTTCCATTCAGCTTTCCACTGACTAAACAATATGATTGTTATCTCTTGTAAACAGTTAAAATGAAACAGGTTGTGTTCTTTATGAATGTTTGCAGAAAAACGTTATTAAGATATTAAGATATACGGGGGAAATGAAAACACCCCCTTTTGGTGCATTAGATACCATTTGTTGTAGAATTGTTGTTACCAACTTAGATTAGTTGCCTATATGTGTTATTCTTGAAAAAATTATCTTGTAGTACATCTCATAGATTTTTGTTTTTTAGTTTAACAAAATGAACAATAGTAAATTTCAATGTCTAATAATCAGTTAACAGGAGCAAAAAAATATAGTGAAATTATTCACTTGATTAAATTGTGTTTATTCAGGTAAAGTTTATTCAGCCAAACATTTCTGAAGCTGTACTTTCATTGCATTAATTCGCGTATTACATAATGTAAAAGTCTAGACATTGTGAACATTCGATGGCTTAGTTACTAATTCTGACATAAATCACTGACGAGATTTTAGTTGAATTATCCCTAATAACACACATGACTTACTGTTTAGTTCATGGTTACTGAGTTACAAAGCAAGTAATATTACTTGAAAAAGTTGCGGAAATTCGCCATCAAATCTATCGGTCTTAACCTAAGGTTGCATATTGATTTTGGTTAGACAGAAAAAAAAGACTATTATGCACTTGACAGTTAATTTATCTTGGCGTTCATCAGCTCTCATGACCTTCGTCCAGAATTGTGAAACTAGTTTTAGTTAGATATTCATGCTGTAACGTGTCGATTCAGTTATCTAGAGTTTTTGAATTCAGGAACAAATCCGTTTCCATATCATGCTGAAGAGTTTCATCCAAGAGAAACGTACGAAAAAGTCAGGACCAGATAGAATATAAAGGTTTAGTAAATGCAGTTTATTTACAGAATATTACACATAAAGTTCAAACATTCATAGGCGATAAGTTCAGGATTTTGACTGTGTTCTCTCAAATCCCTTATGATCTTCGATAAAGTTTCATCTCTAGACACTCCTCTTTGATGGCGATTCCTGAGCTATGATTCGCTGCTTACTACTTATATACCATCGTTTAAGTAGTATTCACCATACCAGCGCGAAAGGACAGAACAAGCTTTATGATAATGGGCTAGTTTGGATCAATGTATGGTTTATACTTTGAAAATGCTGTTAAAAAACTTTTTGCGACTAGAAATTATACATTATTATTATAACTCATTTACTTTACGATTTCGCATCAACAGTCTACTGACAACAAATTTTTTTTTGCATTTTTCGCATTTCTGACGATTTTTTGCATGGTAATTTTATATTTTCACAAACCGCACTTAAAATTCTGTAACAAAAAATGGGTTGCACATAGATTTCCCGATAAATGTCAACATTAGTTCACATAGGACAAACAACAAGAGTGAAAATGTTTGTTTATTCGGTATTTGTGTTTTGTTGTTTTTCAAGAAAAAAAAATCCTCTGACTCATTCTAATTTCACCATTGGACAAAACAGTAATAAATTTATGCGACAATCAAGCGATTAATGAAACATTTTCATTTTTTTGGTTTCGTCATTACAGTTGTAAAATGAAACGACTATTCATTTTATAATTTTAACAATGACAGTATAGTCTATTACACTACCTGTGTTAATCAGGCTACTGATTTAGTGAGTAATAAAAAGTATGCGCTTGAATGAAGAAAGAATAAATATTTTTTCGTTCATTATTCAAGTCTATGAATGGGACATATTGTATCATAGACTTATCTCTTACTTAAAACAAACAAGTTAATATGATTATGTGAATTATTCATAGCATGAGTAACATTAATTCCTGAACGAATTAACCAGTTTTAAAATGAAAACAAGCATGCATTTTTAACCAATTAAACAAATAACTGACGTAATTACACTGCTTTGTCCTTTGATATTGTAGTCCCAATGAAACCGAGAAGATTACATCTTGTGGATATACATAAACGTACCCGTTTAGCATCATCATTGTCACGGACAGATCAAGCAATCTTACGTGAAATAGTAGACCTACCATATTTAAGTATTGAATTAGCATGGGATCCACCTGAAGGTCTACATACGACAAAACAAATCAATTATCAAGTATTCGCCAGACTGACAGGTCCAGAAGAATTAGTAAAAGAACTATCAGATACTACTTACAGTTCCAGTGAATCTTATGGATCCAGTTTAAAACGTGAAGGAGCCCATCCACTATTACAAAGAAGATTGTTAGCTAATGTTACTGGAAATACATTTCGATCGTCAGAAAGTGATAATATTGGTAAGTGAGATTGGTATTCGTTAGATTTTATTGTGTATTTTGCATAGTATTGTCAGAAATATTGATATTTTGTGTTAGCTTTGATTTGTGATTTCAGTAACACCTATATAACTGTAAGATCAAAACTGAAGTTTGGAGTGAGGAATAACTGTCTAGGTAGGTTATATATGCACCTTGCCCAGTTTAAAACCAAAACATGTGATTTCGGTAAATGACGGTTCTGATATTCATCGTAAATATAAATATACATCATTACCTAAATAAATATTACCACTCAGTTATTCCATCCACAATTGTTCAATTATTCAAATCAACAACAGCAAATTAATCTTATTCTATCCCTCCTGGATAGATCAGATTCGTTTGAAAGATAATATTTAGTTGCTTTATAACACAGAGTGTTTCTTATTCTGGAAGGTTGATTCAATTCACAATCAAAATGCACAATTCCAGTCAATGCAAGCGACACAATCAAAGGCGGAATAAATCAATATGGCTGTCGCCATGACTAAGTATCAGCTTGAATAACATAAATGCAGTTCAGAAAGAAACATGGAAACTTAATGAAGGCAAAATAAATAGAAACTATAATAAAATGCAAATATTATCATCTCAAAATGGAATCGAACAGACAAAAAAAATGTACAACTGAAGGAATCAATAAGGACAAATTACAAATGTGTACATGGAGGGATTTTCACAAACAAAGCCTTCAAAAATGGATCTTACAATAACGCCGTTTGTTTTGTTTCGGTTACAAGTTAGAAAGATAAAACTTGAACTAGTATCTTCATACAATAATAAAGGAAAAAGTTCTGAAAAAATATCATTTAAATAGGATTAATTTCAAAATTTATGAATAAATGTATTTCATATGAATATAATACTCCTTATTTCAGAGAATTTCAGTACTATAACCAGTCAAAACAAATTCTACGATCGAACATAATTTGTTAGATCTAGTTTGTTACATTCAAATAGGTTGTAATAGGTTGTAGCCTTGAAACATTTTGTAACATAATAAAATGAGCTAATTTTACTTATTTATTCACAGTTATTGAGTTGCTTAGGAGATCAGAATAATTAATCACATTTTAATGTCATATAATTTTCAAACAATACAGCGCTAGGAAAATATTTAACAGTACCTAAATATAAACTATTACTTCACAGGTTCAATCCATACTCTACCTTTTTTCATTTAGATACAGACAGGAGCTATAATGCAACAAATGTTCCTAAAGTCTGAGTATATAAAAATATAGATTTGTTTATTCATAAACTAGTCAGTAATAATCGTAGAGATTTGAAAAATAAACTAAATTTCTACTTTTACGTGTTAAAACAACTTGAAATCCACTTGATTATCATTATTATCATAATTATTATTTAATTTTCAAACTCCTTGATTAGAAAGAAGCTTCTTAATAATAATAATAATAATAATTTGTATTTAACAAACAGACTCATTGGAAAAACATTTTTTTAATATCTGTAAGAATATACCATTTTTCTTTTGTCCACACCATAGAAATTTTCTGTCTGATCAATTTTACAAAGAGTAGGAAAAAGTTGATCGTTTAAAAATCTAGTGAAAATTGTAGAAACATTACACCTAGCACAAGTAAAATCGTTTAGAAATATACCTAACACATAAATTAAACATCTGGCAATCAGGAAAAATATGCCAGAAAAGAAAAAAAAATCAAATTTGACGATTTTTTTCAAATTTTTATAAAAATCCCTCCAACATTGTGAATTTTTGTGAATAGCCTCCGGTCACAGCAGGTACACTAACAACAACTACAGACAAACATTGAAGTCGCATTAACAAATATGTTAAGAATAGTTTTAATTCACAAAATAGTTTTTATTAAGCAAACCACATAAACTAAGAAAAGTCTAGATAGATACTTTGTTGTAGTTCAGTATTTATATGCGGCCATACTAAAATGTATAAGTAGTCAACCGGGTCATTCACTGTCGAAGTTCTATAAAAAAACGATTGAAAATGCTGAATGAAAGGGCGCAGAATCAGTCCAAATATCTTAAATGAATTCGTTTTTTATTCTTCTTTAAATACTTGGTTTCAACAATATTGTATGCTTTTTATCCCTCATTTCATGTCTTTTGTATTAAAACTGGTATAACCGATCTGCATACATACCTAGTTCTACACTCCTGATAACTTTTTGAGTGATATTCAGTAGTAAACATTGAATACCTAACGAAAATCAATAATTGTTGAGTCAACTATTTCATTCTTGATGGCAAGTGATTGGAAGTAATCAGCAGCTAATTAAATTACATTTTGTAGACTACATTATCGGCTAAGCACAAAGTACAGAACAATTACTTTTCTATATATGTAACAATCTTTCTGCATCAATGGTTTCGTACTATCAGGAAATCAATAAAGTCAGGAATGTTAATCAGTGAGTGCCTATTCACTGATCCAGTGATTCATCAATCATCTAGAAACCTGAAGGTACCCCGTTTATTCCTCTACTTCTGTCGTGAGGAAGACTGCTGATGAGTTCCATATTAAACCAAAACACCCGACTGTTGCTTCTTTTTTTCATTGATTGTCCTAATCAAATCAGTCTGTGATGTAGGATACAAAACGTAATTATCTCTACACCTCTGTAATATATAAATAAATTAGTATAGTAACCAATAACTAGTTATTTCAATGTAATTCCAACAATCAGTTTCCCTAACTTAATTTGCTTCAAGATCAACACGATAGGTTTAATGCCATCTGATGATAATATTACTTATCACATTTAAATGGCCTTTTTCGTGATTGAACACCACTGGCGACTAAATACACACGAGTAAGTGTTGCCGATTTTACCTGATAACATTCTCTAACATATGGCCTAGTTGATCTTTCATTAGCATCTTACACATACAGTTGAAACACAAATTATCTGAGTAAATATTTTTATCAATTTTCCGATGACATATGGTTGTATCGATTCCGTTATAACTGAGAAACTGATACATCATGTCGATATATATATATATATATATTCTCACTGATGTGTGTGGCAGATTTTTCTTTTGTCAAGAATTTATTTATTGATATGAATGTATGTAAATTCAGTTATTTGCCACATTTTACAAAGCATCAAGTTTATTATTTCCAAAGTACCATCTGTTCATATCAACAAAAGGATGAATACTTTCATTATTGTTTTGAAATTTAAATGTTTACAAATATTTTTAATGGTTTATTTCACATAGTGTTAAATTGTTGATTGAATAAACATTCAAAATAAACATAAATTATTCTTATTTATGTCAAAGAGATACAATAACCTACAATAGATGTTTCTTAGAATATTGTTAACTGGTAGTTTAGTAATTCTACTGAGTTTTTAAACGGGTTTCGTGTATGGTAATCAGTGCATGGTTTAAAGATTCACCTTAACTCTAACTTAAACTGTTAGTGAAGTGCCTAGTTGTTTGTGGTAACTCAACCGACCTCAGAGACTTTCGAGAGAATTCTAGGAAGAGTTTTCTTTTCCTTGTTAGGAGTACATCCATCCCCTGGAATTGGATTGTTCGGAAATAGGGGACTAGCTTCCATTGTTGTTTGCATTAATGATATTATGATCGTCAGCGGATGTGAGAATCATAGGTGCGATTCTGTATAAAATTATGGATGTGCATTGCTGTGGAGTCCAAGTCAACTATGAAACAGCTATTCAATGCTCGATGTGATTAAATTCTTTTGTAAACAACAAATCTCTGTGTCAAAAAATATTTTCGGAAAAAATATTTTTCGGGTACCCTTCAATAAGATCAATAGTTTCAAATTCCTTTGATTCATATTTACTTGTTCAGAAAATTAGTAATGTAAAATACAGATCAGTTAGTATCATAAACGGTAACTATGTCATTTCGATAAATCTAAGGTGCGAAGTTTCAAAAAACGTTACAAATCGTAACATCTGTTGAATTCATTCACCATAAGAATGACATACTTTTATATGAGATATTCTGTGAAAATAAATTATATTGTGAATATCAGATTTCAATTAAAGGTTATCTATCATTCAATGTTAAATTTTGTAATTTTGTCTATCAGCATGCATATTTATTTTTTGATCACTTGTCTCATTAATATACAGTGATAACTCAACAAATATTGTAACTATTACTTTAGTAACATAATGCAGTCTAAATTGATTCCTTTAGATGAATCAAATGGTTAAAAATAGTACCAAACTACGAATATGTCTTTAAGGTAGTACAGATTTAATTCAATAATTTATTACCTATTCAGTCTCTCATATTCATTTATATTTAAGTCAAAAGTTACACTATGAATAAATTATGAATAGTACCCGGAAAATGTGAATCTTGAAAAAGGAACCTTCAAAGTATGTGTTATGCTCGCCACTTGATATGCTTGAAACTACTACAGGAACGAGGAAATGAACCAGTGACACGTTATGTTACTCTGATCGGTCGCCCCAAAGGAACTAACGAAGAAGTCTTGATATAGCGTGGAAAGTGTATTCTACAAACACCCAACAAACACAGTGAATTCAAGTAGACAAATCGCGTTTATCTATACATGGTAGAAACGTCCCTGGAAGAGTCACAAAAATAACACGTCAACCAATCTCAGACAAGTATTTTCCTGGTGGGGAATGTGATCTCAAGGTCAACTGATCAGCCCATGAATAAAATCCAAAATAAAGACACTTATCAACCGAGTTCTGGGGATTTAACGACCCCAATAGTATGAAAGGAATATTGTGAAAAAAATATAATGAAGAATGTCTATTTGGAAATGTTAATGTTAAATTAATTACTATGTCTATTGGTTGTTTGAATCTTCTCATTGATATTTACAACCGAATTGAATCAGTTTCTTTTGGTATTTGTGTACTCTATGTGGATTGACTCGATAGTGTAAATAAGGTACATGCACTTTCAGAACTACTACCCTTTATTCATCATTGCTTATAACTGAATTAATTTAAGTGGATATTTACAGGGTTTAAGTCAGTTTCAGACATATTTAGTTATACAAACCGCATGATACATAAAAGTATAAAAAAATGAACCTATTTACTATTTTTGAAATTTAAAGGTTATGGATTGACCTACTTATTTGAGGTTGCACTGATGAATACAAGCTCAACCGGTCTCACAGCTCAATTAGAAGTGACCACACCAGATGCACGTAAGTTAACATAACAATAAGTTTCTAACATTTTTAGTTAAATATTAAAAGAAGTAACTTTTACAATGAATGTTTGTTAAGATTATGAAGTTAAATCGACTAGCAAACTACTGACAACCAGCAACCAACTGAAAATATGTATCATACATTTTAGCAATGATATCACCAAATTTTCAATATATCATCGAAATAAAATGATGGCTTAATAGCTTTGATTCCAATCCATTCTGTAATGTCGTCCATATAGACACTTAACGAATTCTGGATTATGACTGGAAAGTTGATTAGTATTGTGTGATTTCCAAAGACTTTTTCCCGCTGGTGTCAGAATGCGACCGAAGCTCATTTCAGTAGCCCACATTCAAGCAAAAAGCGACCAAATGTAGTTTGAAACGACATGAAAAGTCAATCCCAATTAGACATTAACAAAAAGCATATATATATATATATATATATATATATATATATATATATATATATGTATATATATATATATAACTCATTTAATGATTATCCTTTGAAAGATTAATATCTTGTAAACAATAAAATTCCCACACTACTGAATAGTGAAAGTACACAAATCACTATGTTTCCTAGTGAAATATTAATCAAGGGTATAATAATTTAACAAAAAATGATTTCAATGTATGGCTGATTATTTTTTTTCTAGCCTAAGTGTATTTTTCCTGTTGCACATAGAACTTTAGTTTTTGTACTGGTTTTATCTCAAGAGTCATAAACAGTAAAGACTAGTTAGTTAGTTAAATAATGAACAAACACACCATTAATTTCACGTAAAATATTTCACTAGGAACGTCGATGAAACAACACTTTAATCGGATCGTTTGTAATGTGAATATCATATTTAAAATAATAAAAAATGTGAAAGAATAAAGATAACAGTATCGGGGTCATTGATGGCTACTGTTGAACAGTCCCTGAATGGGTATTCAGTGCTTCCACATAACAATAATGGATTCATGCTCTCGGTAAAATTTAGTAATTCAGCGATTATGTTTTAGAAAAGTTATTTCGCATCAGAAATAACCTCACCCTTAAGCTAATAACAATCATGTGCTCACAGATGATTACGTTTACAATGTAACTTCAGTAGTCCTAGTGAAAATCAGTGACTATTAGAGTTCAATTATTTTCGGTTATGAATCAGTTATCCATCATAGGCAACGGGTGAAGATTTATCCAAAATCATGGATTGGTTGAAGTCGGTGACAATGACACCATCGGATGCTGGCTCATTAGTCTAGAGTTTAGGCTTTTACGCGAGAGACCAAAAGTCTTGGGTTTGAATACTGTATGAAAAGTCGCAGAGACAGACTGCTAAGAAGTCCCATACGAGAATGAAACAGTCGTTCATTGCTGATTCAGCTAAGATCAATTTGCGATTTCAGCTATGGGAATTCTACAATCTCCACAAATCCCCTATACTTAAATTATTTGAGGTTGAAAGAAAACTATGCATATCACTCGAGTGATGTGTTATATTGTTATGACGATAAAATTAATCTACTACATAAACCATTGAATAATCTACATGAAAACATTTGATCACATCATCTACTCGTAAATTAATATTATTCTAAAATAAGCATTTTCTAGAAAAGATAAAATATTTAATATTATCAAGTTAATACACGTTCACATAAATTGTTCGATGTAGTGAGATTCTTATAAAGACATCGTTATTTAAACAACATTAGTTGTTATCATCAACCCCATACTACCATGTAAGTTATAGCAGTCAATTAAAAGTGATTCAGTTGTTAGTGCTGACATGATATCCATACACTGTAATCATAAACTTGCGGATGATTAATACACACACTTAGAAATTAACTAGTTGAGAGTAAAATTCAATAGACAGTAGGATGTTGGACTTAAATGCTTGCCGTGCAGTATACCATAAGTTTCTGTCACAGATGTGACTCAGAGGAAAGTCCCGTAATTACTCGATAGTACAAGCGTTAAGCGTGTAAAAAGTTCTAAATAATGTGCAGGGATTTGTCTAGTTTCCTAGAATCTTTGTGACAAATCTTATTAATATTATTATGTGATACACAGATGAATTAACAAGACTTATAGATTAAGTCTGTTTCACATCATAATCTAAAATATGGAGGTATGCAGTACAGGTAAATGATTAAGGTCTTATGTTTTCTAAATTAGATGACCTGATTCAAGACGTTTCGTCGTTATTCTGGATAACATCATCAGCCACGACTTCATATTATATCGATAACTATTTAAATTTTAGTTCGAAACAATTTGGTCACTTCATATGGTATCTGTTATGTGTAGTTTTGATCCATTGTTGAAGTTCAATAACTCACATACAGCTTATTTTATCAAATCTCAATTGTCTGAATACGTGAGTTGCACTACATTGGACTAGTGTTATAAAAGCATTCAAAAAAAGACTACAGTCTATCATGACTGCATTTAACATTATACCATAGAGTAAGATCGTTTCGATTTAGCATAAACTAGAGATAACAGAAAAGCAGTGACGTCAACAGAAAAGCATTCATTTATTATTTAAATAAAATGTCATCGTCACTTGATAGTCTATTTCATAGTTTATATATAATACACACTAGCGTATTCGAGATATTTTACAATCAAACAATCGGCTAACATCAACTGGTTATGACTATTTTAAAATGTATTTTATTCATTATCTTAACTCAGTAAATTCATTCATAAATGTCAGTGTTGTTAGTCATTCGTAGTAAAAAGTATGATGAAGTTGCGTGAAAGTTGTTGTTACACACACATTTCGATTGACATAGATGTGTACATAAATTTAAATAACAAACAAACAGAAAAAGTATTTATTCAATACTATTTATCAAATGTCTGATTACTAAATTACCTTACCAATTTCCTATTCTTGTTTTGCCGCCACTCATTAATTACATCTAAAGTAGGTTATACCATTCTTGTACATCCATGTGACAGCAAATAAATCATCAGACTATTATCACCAAATTAAGCGAACAAGATAATAAAATAAGGCGATAAACGCCGATAAAACAAACTATCCCGGTAGTTGACTGTGCATATTCATATTTCACTTATTGTTCTGGAAATTAATCAATAAATAGTTGACAATATTCTTCTTTATCTGTTGTTCTCTTCCAGCACCTTCTAGCAGTCCACTACACGTTCGTTTAAGTGGTTTATCATCAAGCTCTGTTGAAGTCAGCTGGGCATCACCTCCAGTACAATATCGTAATGGGAAAATTACCGGTTATGAAGTGAGATTTTTTGAAGTTGGCGCTGAAACACAAACAGAGACAATAACGAAAGTGATAATACCAGGCCAGAGACAATATACAGCAAGAGGATTAAAAGAAAAAACTTTTTATACATTTATGGTACGAGCGTTTACTTCAGCTGGACCTGGACCTTGGTCTGGTGCAAGTAATATACGTACAAGTGTTGAGTGTAAGCATTAGTATATCTCACTGTTTACGTATAAATCAATATAAATTCTATTTTTGAGAAAAAAATTAAAATTAATTTCACTCAAGAACTGATTAGTTAAACATTAATGCCTCAAGTAACACAACGTAAGTGTCGTCAACATGTTCAGTAAGTATTAAGAGAAAATGTATCATGTAAAAGGAAAAATAAATATTTTTTGAATAACTACGAAAACAAATGTACAAATAAACCATGACATAAATGTATTGTCCCTTTGTTTTATGTGAATAATTAAAAGGGATTCAGATGCTTTTTGATAAATTGTAAGCCGATTGGATCTGTGCTCTACTACATTCCAACCTAGTGACCTGATGTCAATAAAAATAACGCAGGACTTAAAGATCTTTTATTCAATAAACGGTCAATTTGTAGCTACGAATAAGTAATAAGGTTATACACTTAGATGAAATATGTTACTTATTGTTCTCTGGTTTTTAGTGATCGGTGGGCCAATTTCATTCTATGTTATAAAGTATCTTATGACTGAATGATTGACATGTATTCAGTATTCTAGTCAGAGATAATCATATTCAAATTTGTCATCGATGAAATGCTCATAAAATGCATTCCTTCTTATTATTTCTCTCTTTTTTTCTGAATAAAACAAATATATTCAGTACCACCTCCACCATTGGATATTCAAGCCTCACGAATAAATCAACATCAAATCAAAGTAACCTGGCGTATACCGACACGTGAAGATCAAAACACTGTAGGCAGTAAACAATTGTCAATACAAGGTTTTCGTTTACTCTATTCCGCTAACAATAATCCATATGAATCCGGCCAATGGACATCATTCGATGTGGGTCCAGTCAATATGGCTATAATAAGTCATTTAGAAAGTAAAACTAGTTATGTTATTTGTATCAAATCACGTGGACCCGATGGTCGATATGGTGATTGCAGTCAGCCGGTTATCAGTCGATTAGCTACTGGTAATGGGGAAAGTGATTTCTCAGTGCGTGGTTTATTTTGTTCTGGAGATGATACTAGTGTGAAAGTGACTTGGCAACAACCTGAAAGAACAGAAAAACTGGAAGGCTTTAAAGTGAGTGATGAATACTAAGGTTTTATTTATATTCTCCTTTACATTACGAACAAACTGTAATTTAAATTATTGGCTGTCTAGACTCAGTAGTTCATGTTTAAAGCACTGGGTATTCGGTTTAAGTTGTTATGTAAACATCAATACAGAAATTCAGGTTCATTCAGCTAACGATTTCAAACAGGACGAAACGCACAGTTTTGGATCTTAAAACCAGTTACAGTTTACATATTCTTTTAATTGTAAATGAACTAGGGAGATTTGTAGAAATGTAAGAAAAAAATTATTTCGTATAATCGTCCAATTTTTTCTATTACTAAATTACGCAAAATTACTAAGAGTATTTACAGTTGTTTAATGGTATAACTAAAATCTGTTCGAACGGATTCAACATTTACAGTTTGTTTACATTCAATTTTCAATCTCATTATAACTCATCAAGCTCTAAGTGGTTTCGATCAAAAATCCTTTGTATTCTCGTTAATTGCAGTAACATCGTAATCAGAGTATGAAGATATGAGTTATGCTTACGCTTATTAAGTTAATCGTAAATTATCAATTTAACAAGTCATCTTTACAGAATCATAAGATAGAGACCTAATTTTGATGAACGATATATATGAAGGTAGTCAAAAAGAATGCAAAGCCAAGTCACACAAAACCAGCAGTCAAAATGAAATCTGATTGGTTGAGTTCAAAAAACATAAACAAACATGAAGTTACAAACTTACTGGTTGCCAGACATGAATAACAACAACTGAAGGAATATTTGGCTGGTCTTGGGTGGTTATTTTTAATTATTAGACTAATAATAGTTCTCTAGTTGGCATTAATTTATAATTAAAATACTCCGAGTAAACCATACAGCTCTATGTATGAAATAAAGCTATTCACTGTTTACAATACAAGTTTATATTTTGATGCAAAAAACCGTATCCACTACTACTACAACACGTCTAGATTCCATCTGTTTTCTCAGCATTGCCTATATATATATATATATATATATATATATATATATATATATATATATATATATATATATATATAGCTGGGTAGGTAGATAGATAGGTCTATATTCTACTAGTTACCAATTTTGTGACATTTCTAAACTTTATGCAAATTGAAATTTCATGTTTCCAAAAAAAAAATGATCAAGTTTCATTGAACTTTTCAACTCATAATTGATGAACGCACAAAAAATAAATTTTCCTGTAAAGGACACATTAAACTGGGACAATCCTTTGTTTGTTTCCATATTCCAATCGACTTGATTGTTAATTCTTCATAATTTACTCTACTAATTGATCATGTAAACAAATGTCTCAGATTTCAGAGCAGGTTCACAATGAAATGTTTATATTTTTGAGAAATAGTAATAAACATTATTATACCCTTCTAATTAGTCGCACAGATACTAAATATAACTTCGAATAAAACAGGTTAAACAGAAAATTAGTATCTGTCGGTTGTAAGATATAAGTTAATTTTATAATTTATTCTTAATAATAATAATAACAATAACAACAGTAATAATAATATTTAGTCTAATCTGAATTTGTTAATGCACTAAAATTGAATTCAATAAAGTGTTTTTCTTTGTGTGGTTACTGTTTAAATTTAAAAAAAAGGCAATTTTAATTTTATTTTTTCTAGTTACTAAGATTTTTTACGCCTATTATAATCATACGTCAGTCATTTTGTTGTTGTCAAGACATGTACACTTGAACATGTTAGTAAGTAAGGATGCTTTAAAAAAAAATGGCGCTTTTATGAAATTGGATTCACATGTCTGATAGAATTTTATTTGTTTCCAACATACTATAGTTATGATAAATATGTGTTTGTGTTCTGTGTTTTTTTTGGCTATTGACATTTAAAAAGTGAAAAAAATTTTCATTATTGTCTATTTTTGGTAAGGGAATAGTTTTTGAACGGATACCTTGATCCAAATCAGATGAATGGTTATCCAGAACTTGTAGCTAAGTAGATTTTATAAAGGATGTTCAAAAACGATAGCTAATCGGTTTAAACCTTAGTCTATTAATACGAAGATACGAAAACATCCAAACTATAGGAATCACACATAAGATAGAGAAAAACATTTTGATTCCTGCCACTTACTATATCTCAAAATAATAAAGTCATGCTTTAAATGAATTGGACATACTTTTTTTATCGCAAAAAATCAACAGCACATCAAGTTTATTTCACATTTTCAAATTAGTAATGACAACTTTTTTTTTATGGCAGATAAATGACGACATATTATTTATTATATTGAAAATATATATCTTCAAAATAACCTACTGATAAATCGATAAGCAATTAACTTGCCTTATTCATTAATGTAATTTAGATAAAAATGAAAATTGCAAGTCTTATTCACAGTTAAACAGAGCATAACAGTTGATACAATGAATTGTCGGAATATTTGATTATATATGGTCGCTGTGACAGGTTTCAGATTAAAAAGACGCAGTAGTGAGCTCGGAAGGCGTCTGACAATATAGCTTGTAAACTGATCCGATATATCAATTGTCTTTAGTTTATTTTAACGGTAGAATAAACCTAAAAAAATAGTTTGGGCTTGTTGAACAAGTATAATACACAAATGAAGATTCTTCTTCTAATTCGGTCACACTTCCTTCACCAAAAAGAAAACCATGAGATCAGTGAATTAATTACAGATTTCTTGATATGATTTTGGTTGACGTCATAGACTAGGAAAACAAAACTGTCAATGCCATCATATCTAAATAACATTTTAAAAAAATCAAGTTTTGTCTATCAGTTGCGTAAATGAAGTATGAATAAAATGTATAATTTGTTTATGGTTCTATTTGGTTAGCTCAGTGCTGTAAAGTTATGACGAGTCCGATAATCTGCTGTTAAAACATGAAACAACTGTAGCAAATCTATGGATATATGGATATGGATATTTTTCTCTATAAATTATTCTGACACACACTGACAAACTGTTTTAATTCAATCATAATTGATCATTTTCATTATGTGAATTTTTTCTAATCAACAGTATAATTTACTTGTCAGATAGTTGTTCATCACTATTTTATTTGTAAGTTATTTCAGAAAAGTAACTGAAATAATTAGCCTTAGCAGTGATGATAAAAAATCAGTTTTAATTGTAATAGAATAATTGTGAATTTTATGAATGTACTGTTTATTCAAAAATGATTCCTTCAGTCATATGTCAGGAAACAATTACTATTTGTAAACTAGATATTCTTATTCCAAAGTCAACATCGATAACTATGTGGAAAGAGCTCAATGTTGTAAGTTATGTTGGACTTTAGTGTATCTGTGTCACTCTCAAAAAAATGTATCAGAAATACTATTTTCTTAAGCCTTTTAAAAGGATAGGTTTTATCTGTATCGCAGCAAAAGAAAACGAGAAGTGATGATATTGACGTACTGTAGTCGATTTCTGATACGAAAATCGTTTTCGTGTTTCATTTAATCCCGTTAACCGAATATCTAGAAAGAATGTTCTCTGGCTAAACTAATTTTAATTTTTAAACTTGACTAAGCAGTTTTATACCTAATCCCTGTGTTTGAGTATCTTAAGAAAGTCATCTTTTGTGTTCACCTATTTTCAAATGTTGTATACAAATTGAAGACGTGTTGTTTGTTCCTCTCAGTCGATTTCTCAAAGATAACAACGTTATTTCGACCATCTGTCGGCAGTTTTTCGCAACACAATAACAATTTGAATCGTTCAGACGTCGTTTAATCGAAAGAGCTTTCTTAAACTAGACAATCGAAAATATTGACAATGTTCATCAAATTCCAAATGTACTGTATAATGCACATTGAAATCATCAATCAATCATTGTTAGATTTAGTGGCTCACGACTGGACTCCAGTGTGGACGAATGATCGAGTAAGTGATGAAATAAATCTTCCTTCCCACTTCCGTATATTATACTTAGGCTCACCCCGTTTGTGCGATGGTGGCAATAAAAAGGCCAAGTACGGTGTTGCGGATGAATTTATTTCATGCAATCATCTATGCAGACAAAGATGAGAAGGAAGGCGCACAAGCAAAACGAAGCGAATTGGAGAAGGCAAGTGATCCAACTCTCATGAGTTGAATCAATGACTAAGTATTTATAGTTAGGCGATAATAAGCTAGACATATAATAGGCGGGTAAGCATCCGCACACAATCTAATATACAATAATCGATACCTTAATCGAATTATTACAAATACAAACTTATGGTCGATATTGTTATCGAATAATTTAAACGACAATGAAGTACCCTGAATGAATGTTAGGTTGCTTGCTACAAGACCACCCTTAGGACCCTGGAAGCACTGGATGGCCGTTTCGTCCTGGGATGGGACTCATCAGCAGTGTTCATCCACGACTCGTGCACCTAGCAGGATTCGAACCTAGGGCCTCCGGTCTTGCGAGCGAACGCCTAACCTCTGAACCACCCGGCCGACATCCAACGGTGTTAATGTCTAACTCTGATCAATCTGCAGATTTTGCGCGACCTACGAGGTGCAGAAGTCATGGATGCTCACTACTGATGAGTTAAATACCAGTACAAAACGGCCATCCAGTTCTTTCAGGGTTCTAATGATGGTCTAACAATGGCTGATTAATGATTTCAATGTGCAATAAACACTAATCTCCATAATTCTATTTAAAAAAATACTGTATAATGTTTGTTCTCATAGGTACCGATCTTTTATTAAAGGGTAAAGTTACTTCTACTGTCATTATTCATCTAACACTATGAAATTTTTTCAAATATGTCATTACGAATCAAACTGCCCTCGGTTTAACTCTAGTTTTCACGAACCAAATAATGGACAGTAATTGAGTAGCATTTTTACAAAATTACACTTATTTCTAAAAACAAACTCTTTAAACCTAATACTTATATTTTAGTATTATCATTATTATTTACTATGACCTTTGAAATTCAAACTTTCTATTGATTTTCAAATTACTGGTTCGTTTGCGAGAAAA